GGGATTTAAAGGCCCCCCCCCCCCCCCCCCCCCCTCACCCAACCTCAACCCTGCCAACAACAGAATGTTGAGCTAAAGGTTCAGCTCGAGGAAACCAAGCGCGAGCTTGCTGAGAAGGACGAATTGCTGCGCCAGGTGCGTGTGTGCTCGTCTCAATCCAGTGTCCACAGACTCCAAACGCCGTGCATTGCGCCGTGATTCCTCAAAATTCTTGTGATTTTCTCAGGCCCACAACGCCATCGACGGCTATGCTGCACACGAGGAGCAACGCTTGGGTCAACAACGCGCTTCGGTATGTCTGCCGTCCTCACCATGTACACGGGCCTCGTCGTGTTCACCAGACTACGCTCCATATCACACCCCCATTGATCGCACGTTCCGCTCTCAGTATGAAAAACGGATCCGCGAGTTGGAGCTCATGGTCAAGGAAGCACGTGTTGAAGCTCGCGAGCATGAACAAAACGTACGGCAATCGTGCGGTTTGCGGCGCGTGCTTTGGTGTTGCTCTGTTCAGGACCTTACCCCAACATCCCGTGGCGGCATTCGCATCGTTTTAGTTGCAACGATATGGTCAAGACTGGGGTGAACAGGATCAAAATCTTCGTGGTCACATTGGCGATCTCAAAGAAGAACTCGCCGCACTTCGCCAGGCCGCTGAGAATGCTGCCTCAGATCATCGCAAGCGGTACGGCTCGAATCAGACCAGTCGGAGTACATTGACACACTCTCATCTACACGGCACCCCATCAAGGATGCCACAGCGCTGGACTCCTCTTACTTTCATCGCATCTTTGCCCTCATCTTAGTGTTGCCAAGCTGGAGGGCCAGCTTGTTGATCGGGATTTGCAAATCAACGCCCTGCGCAACGACTTGGAGCGCGACAAGCAACAAATCGAGGCCATGCAGCAGGAGGAGCGCCAGCGCCGCCGGGAGCAGGAGCATGCCGAGCAGACTGCTTCACGAACGCCTCAGGCGGATCCTCGGGCTGATGTACGTAGCCCGTGATTTTTCTCCTTCAATGCCGTCCTGGTAAATCCAATGATGGCTTTCACCGCTCATATCCTCGCCTCGCGCGATCAACAGCGCATGCAGATGCTGGAGACGGATAATGCCACCCTCCACCGCCAGGTCGAGGTATGTGACCTCCTTTGCTGCCGCCCCACTTCTTATGCTGATTCTTATTTGATTCTTTTTGGCCGTATCTCGTCATGAATTGGTAATCCTTTTGGTTCGCTACACATCACTTATGCCGCGCGCGTATTTGCCAGCAACTGCGTCGGCAATTGGAGCAGGCACAGCTGACGACCACCACCTTGCGCGCTTCGGACAACGAGCCTGCGCGAAGCAATCGCTCTTTTGCACCCGGAGACGACACGCTGCGATCCTTGCACGTCAGCGGGCATGGTTTGCGTGACCGCACGGGCCCGGTCGATGACACGCTCGTACGTTCATGAAACGATTGAACATCCTGCTGCGGGCAATATAATCTCCTTTTTTCTTCTTTCCTTTTCTCTTGAGTCATATCTGTATGTGTCTGATTGCATAGAACGAGTCTTTGCAAAATTTGGCTGAAGGCGAAGCCTTGGGCATTGAATCCTTGCGCCACGAGTTGCAGGCCGAGCGCATTCGCCTTGAAACGCTTCGTCGACAGCTCGAGGCTGAACGTGAGCAGATTCGAGTCGAGCAGCGCCATCGATCCACTGCCAATGTGACACCGCGCCCCACCGAGCCTGCTGCGCCTACCCCCCTTGCAACCTCGCGCACCGCCGATGGAGGCCAGACCGAGGAGCTGCTCAATCAAGCACGAGACCGCGAGCTCTTGCTCATGCGCCAGCATGCCGAACAGATTAACCAGGAGCAGCAGCGCTATCGTGACACTGTGGTTGAGCTGCAGGCTGCCAAACGTGCGGAGGTTGAAGCTAGCACAGCCGCCAATGCTGCCCGTCTCGACCTTGATGAAACGCGGGCTCAATTGCTGTCCACACAGCAAGCTTTGATCGATATCCAGCAGCAGGTACACCAGTCTTGACCAACAAGTCTGACCTCGACGAGTTTTTGTGCAGTGTGTGTGTGTGTGTGTGCGCGCGCGCGCTCACGAGTCACCTTCATTGTGTCGCAGCACGAGGCATTGCAAAGTGAGCACGAGGAACAAGTGCGACTATTGCAGCGAGCAGCGGCAAAAGTCGAAACCCAAGATGCTGCACAAAAAGCGCTCGAGGTGAGAGCCGCAGCCCAACCTCGACCAAGAAATGTGGCCAAACAACATGTTGGGCCGAGCGCAGTCCCGCCATTGGTTACAACACTGACTGTTTCCGCTTGTGGGCCAGGCCGCTACGGCAGAGCACGAGCAAATTGTTGATCACTTGCGGCGGGCTGTCGCTGAAGCCGAGGACGAAGCAGCAAAGTATGTGCACTGCCCATGCTTGTGGTATTGCCCCGGGCCTAGCATATCTACGCTTTCCCATCTGTTTCCCGGTGATTCACCCTCGATTGTGCCTGTCATAGGTGGAAAAAGCGAGCTGATCGCGCCGAGGGGCGTCTGGCGACCATTGAGGATGAGATTGTCCAAATTCGCGGCGATTTGGGTCAGGCCCAGGAACGTTACAGCACAGAGTTGACCACTATTCGCTCGCAGCACGCCGAGGACAACACCAAGCTGGCCGGCATGCATGATGAGCTTCAATTGCTCCGCAACCGACTCGCAGACGCCGAGGCCGAGCGCGAGGAAGCGCGCCACACGGCGCGCCAGTCGGAAAATGCTCTACGGGATGCCCGTCAGCAGAATCGCGCTCTCTCCGATGAGCTTGATCGCGCGTTGGCTGATGCCGAGGGACGTGGCGAGCTTCAGCAGCGGGTCCGCGAGTTGGAGGCTCTGACCAAGACCTTGACACGCTCTCTGAGCGCGGCAGAGAATGACGCTGAGCGCCTCAGCGCAGAGGTGGGCCATCGCAACGATCGCGTTCAGACGCTGGAAGCCCGGTTGCGTCAGCTCGAAGATGAGATTCGTGGTTTACAAAGTAGCTTGCATGAGACTCAGCAGCAGCACCAGATTTCCGTGTCACAGCACACCGCTGAATCTGATGCCTTGCGCCGTCGGTTGGCCGCTGCGGAGGGCAAGGCGGGCGAGCACGTAGCAGAGACGCGTAACCTGAGCACGACCTGCCGCGAGTTGGAGTCGGCGCTCAAGGTACAGAAGCAGCTCGTCGCAGACCGCAGTGCGGCCATTGCCCGCTTGCAGAGCTCACTCGCTGAGCGGGATGCAGCCGTCAAAGCTTTGCAGGACGAGCTCGAGGCAGTGCGCTCGGATCTCGTGCTTGCCCGGGCGCAGGCTCAAGCTCTGGGAGAAGTTCAGCACACCCTAGACCTGACCCAGGTTCGCGTGGCCGAGCTGGAGGATGAGCTTGCTCTTGCTCGAGATGAGCTGGCTCGAGCCGTGGCCACAGCCGACGGCGTTATGGCGCAGCTCGCCGAGGTGGATGCTGCGCTTCAACGTGAGCGTCAGGGCAGCGCCGATTTGGCTCGACAGCTTAGTGACCAACGTCTTGCACACGAACATGCCCTTGCAGCAACCCGCGAGGAGGCGGAGCGGCTGCAACGACAAAAACAACAGGCGGACGAATTGCTGGCGTCGCGTGAACACGAAATCAACCGCCTGCACGATGACAATGACGCGCTGGCGCGCGCGCTCCGCGAGCAATCTCATGCGGGCGAGGCCGCGAATCTGCGGGCACGAGACCTTGATCTTGATCTCAGTCGCCTCCGAGGCGAGCTGGACAACTGCGGCCATGAGCGCACGCGTGTTCAGCAACAAAACTCAGAGCTGCAGCGCCAGCTTGATGAGGTCACACGTGAGCTTCGCAATGCACGGGATCTGCATGGTGGTGATGTTGGTCGTCTTCAAGCGCGTTTGCGCGACTGCGATGAAGAGGTCGCGAAGCTCCGCGTCTTCAAGTCAAAGTTTGAGCAGCTCAGCGAAGACCAGCGCTCTTCAGACGATACCTTGCAGGCAGCTCTCCGTGACCTCGATACTACCCAGCGCGAGCGCGACGTAAGTTGTACCAAATTTCTCCGTTTGGCCAGGGTGACGCTCAAGCTTGCATTGTCTCTGCGTCCTTTCTAACTTACTTGTTTCATGCTTGATTTTCGTCCCTGTGTGCGCGGGCATTATCCATCCAGGCCCTGAGCACAGAGCTCAGTGAGGCGCGATCTCACTTACGGGAAGAGCAGAAGGCTGTGGAGGACATGCGTGATGAGCTTGAGCAATTGCTTCAGTCGTACACCAGCCTTGAACAGGCCAAGGTAGGGTTACCGACGCCCCGCGTTGCCCTTCCCCCCGCTCTGAACCAGAATGGGCTCTGCAATGCATGTGCGCGGCTTCACCAAATGGTCCTTGTATGTTCTTGGCGCATCTCAGCTCGCAGCCGAGGCAGAGTTGCAAAGTCGCGGCCAGGATCGCGAGGCACGGTACACGGAGATGACCGTAACGATGCGCTCGCTTCAAGATGAGCTCGAACACGAGCGGGCCCGAGCTCGTCAGGCCGAGGAAGATACGGATCACTTTGCTCGTGACGTACATGCCCTGCGCAACGAGATTGCCCGACTGCAGGAGCAGCTGGCCAACTTGCGCAATCGCGAGCAGGGTTTGCTGCAGCAGCTGAGCGACGCTCAGGGTCAGTTGGAGGCAGAGCGCGAGCGTCAGCGTGACCTTGAGACAAAAATGGATCGCATCGAGCTCTCTGATCGCCAGCGTGAGCGCCGCAGCAACGGTACGTCTTGACTGGGCCACAGCCAGGCCATTCTTCGCATCAGGCAGGGTGGTGGTCCATTGCGGTGTAGACGAGCAGCTGTTTAGAGCTCATTCGAGTGGTCGTCTGGTCTTGGGTGGGATGTGGTGCGGTATGCATTGCTTTCAGACGAGGTGTCTGCGATGGCGCGTGAGTTGGCCACAGTGCGAGCCGAGCTGGCTGCGTGCAAGGACCGTTTGGCCGATGCCGTGCGCGACCGCGACGCCATTGAGGGACGGCTCAATGAATACGGAGTATGTCATGTCATTTCGATTGAATCCTTGCGCGAGGCACTCGCAGCCAGGCTCGTAGAGACCCGACCCGCACTTGCCTTTCACTGATCTATGGTTTCAATGTTGCTTTGTAGGACCTGCGCGCACGAGACCGGGATGGTCTACAGCGGGCCGAATCCGATATGGCCAGCATCCGACGACAGCTGGCTGAAGAGCGGAACCAGGTATCGCTAAAGGCCGACGAGTTGACCGAGGCCAAGCAGCTGCTCGAGCATACCTCGCATCGCTTGGAGCTTCTGGAGGACCAAAACGGCCAGCTTCGTCGCCAAGTCGCCGATCTGCAGGATGAGCTACAGCTCTGCCACGAGCGCAATCAATTGGCGCGAGATGCCGAGCAGGCGCTGCAGGGTACGTCATCGTGTCTTGTCGGTCTGTGCATGCCATCGACTCTGTGCTGGCTTGGGCATGACAGATATCAAAGTCTGACTCAAACCAGCGCACCTCACTCTGCGCACCTTGCACATAGATCGTATGAGTCGAGCTGAGCGCGAGCGAGCCACGGCCCTAGAGCACGCCAAGGAGCGTGACCAACTCAAATCCGAGCTTGACCAGCTGCGGTAAGACATTTGAATTTGGCAGCAGGTTGATCCCGCACAAAATTGCCAATGTACTGCCGTGTTACCCCGGCGCTAGCTCATTTCCTGCACCTGCCCACAGCGCTGAGCTGGAGCGACGCACGCGGCATGTTGGCGAGCTGGAGCGTGAGCTAGATCGTGTCCTCCGTGAGGCGCATCAGGATGCAACAACCATGAAAGATCTCGTGGCTGCCCTCGAACGGATGCAGCAGACTCAAAACCGTCTACAAGAGGATGTAGAGCAAGCCGAGTATCGCGCGCGGTTGGCCTCTGATCGGCAACCGGGTCCTGACGCTGCCAGGAGTGAGCATGCAAGCCGTACCTACAGTCGTACCGTAACTTCTGTTCTGACGCAGCGTGAAGCGTAAAAGAAGAACGCCCTCGTTTCTCAGGCAGAATTCTCAGTTTCTTCTTTTATCTATTTCTTCCCATCTCCCCTTCCCCTTGAGTGTCATTGTGGATGATTTTCCCCGCCCCCCTTTTTTTTGTTTTGGGTTTGTGTGTTTACCCGAGCCTCCCCGCACCCGTTGCAGTCCTGCTTGACGGTGCGGGTCATATCAACAGACAATCTCGTCAAGGTCATCCAAGCGACGACGTTGACCGGAAGGATCGCATGTGTGCTGCCTGTTTGTGAACTTTGAACTTGGTGTTTGCATGCGCTTCCTATATCTTTGGTTTGTATGTAGCTTCTTAATGATTTATGTGGTGGAAGTTTTGTAAGACGTGTGAGTGAGGCTGTGATGTGGGCCTCTTTGAGAGCAGGATCCGTTGAGTCCGGGCTCACTTGATGACATTGCCAAGCAATTGAATCACTTCTCATTGCTGCTGCCCATTTGGAAGAGCCAAGATGAGGGGCCAATGGGGGTGCCGCAGGAAGGGCAAACTCTGCCCATCAAAGATGCTGCTGTTGGTCAGGGCCAAGGGGTGCTCCCAATGCTGTAGAGGCTGAGTAGCGGTGGCACGGCGGACAAGTTCGACCATATTACGCCAGGCGTGCTCATCCCGTTGGCGGCGTTCGCGCTGCGAGCACGCATGAGAATGGGACAATGCAGTCGTGGCACCGATGGGATAGGCTGACACCAGCGTTGCGGGAGGCTCGGGCCGCAAACCAATGCGCGCCACGCCACGCGCATCCACGCTGCCCTGGACCACGTGCCAGAGCAGCAAGGCACGGCCCTCAAAGGACTGTGGAAGAGCGTCACTTGCACCGTCCTGGGAATGCGGGGTCGTGTGGGCCTGCCAGCGCAAGCAAACGCAAAAGCGACCCTCATTCCGGGCAAACTTTTTAAACAAAAAAGTGCATCGTGAGACGGGATGTCAGTTGGGAGCCGGCAAAGCCCCAATAGCGGGCGCCGCAGACCTTGAGAAGTAGCGCCGTGTAGTCCTCCAGGTATTCAAAGCGACGACCCTCGCGCTGCAGCATAACCTCGGCGATGGGCTTGATCAGCGGCTCTAGCTGTAGTACGCGTGATTGCACCTCGAGGTGGCAATCACGCGCCACGTAACGGTGTGGGCAAAAGCATGCTCCTTGATCACCAGCCAGGCTTAGCCCTTGGGCCACGCTGGATGCGGAAACAGCCACCCCGCTGTGGGCGGGCGATGTCGCCGTGGCCACGGCAAGCAGGCCATGTAGCCCAGCATGGGGTGGCTGGTGGTGGCCACATTGGCTGCCGGGATGTAGAATGGAAAAAACGCTAGTTTGTGCATCCTCGGAGATGGAGGCGGGTGCGGGGCCACTGCGAATTTGAAAACGGAAAAAGAAGAGACTGTGGCCACCATGGAGAAGCACGCTACCCGGACAGGCAAGGCTGAAAACAGCCCAGGGCGATGTAAGAAGCTCAGCAGCGCAAGTTGGATCGGTAATTCCCAGGGTGGAGTCGGGGGCAGGCAGGTACCTGATTCTGGGACGAAAGTGGGGAAAGGGAAACTGAGTGCTATGGTCCGTATGTAAAAGGACGACGCCGTCCCAAATCGGTCGTGTTGGATCCAAGGCGACGGCGAGCGTGACGTAGTGCAAAACCCCCGCCTCCCTGGGTTCTTGTCTATTTCGATGGGGTAATCTCGCTGAGTTGAGCCTTGGGTACAAGAGGCATCAGGCCGTGAAGGCCAAATTGCTGGGCCAGCAAAGCGGTTGTTGACGCACTGAGCGCGACCGACTATGACGGCAAGTCCATCACTCTCGGCGTAGGTGATGCTCAAGTGTTGATTAAAGGCTTGGCCGCGCCATAGGGGTTGTTCCAGAACCTGCCAGCTCAAATAAATGGGCACAGGATGAGACAACACGTGACAGGAGAGGCCACACGATGTGCCAAAACGTGACAGGAGAGGTCATGCGAGTCCCAATGCCAATGGGCCGTTGGCCAAGGATGGCGAGGCAAGAGCGGCAGCAGAAAAGTAGGTGGGGGTTCCTCAAGACTAACCAGGCGGGAGGTGGCACGGACGGAAAAGCGAAAGATGACAAGATTGTAAGTAATCTCCGTGATCCAATCTAAAGTTGCACTCATGACGTGAGCCATGATGCGCTAAGAATCCGACAAGGTAAGGGTCGACCATGTGCCGCGGCGTTGAAGCGAAGCTTGTCACCTCGCTCGCGGGAAATGAGCCGGTAGGCAATAATGTACCGGCCACACGCGGAAAAACCTAACACCACCAGACTATCACGATAGAGGAGCAGTGAGTACGGCAGTGGGTGCCAATGTTGATGGGCGCGGGTCTCGGCGCTGACTATAGAGGCGTACTCGTTGTGTCGGCCAATCACGCGGTTGAGAGGGAGTCGGCGGGCGGCTAAAAAGTACTCGTTGAGGCGAGTAGGGTTTTGGTGTGAAGGTGTCACAGTCTCAGTTGAGTGATGGATGCTTGAGCCGGCAAACTGGCGTCGACGGCGCGCGCGTGCTCGTGCGCGCGCTTCATGTACCCGGCGCGTCGTGTGGCCATAATGACGCTGATGCAGCACGGTGTCCAACGAGTCAAAGCTTAGGCGCGTTTGGCGTGATTGCTCACAAGACGCCCGAGAGGGCGGTGGTGTGCCGACGGTCGACATGATCTGCGACGCCAAGGCCTCAACCTGACGCTTGAGTACCGTTGGCAACAATATCCGCCTCTACGCACAAGCTCCGCGCTCGATCCAAGAATGCATCGAGTCATCGGAACCAGCGAGGGTCACGAGGACCATTGCTGTGGCGAGCGATCAAGCCTCAAGCATGAGGCCCAGCAAAATGCAGACAGGGCGTGCTTCCAGTCGACATACACACACACACTCGACACGGAAAGCACGTCTGGTGGTGCAGAGGCAAACAGGATACAGGGTACTGGGTACAGGCACTGGAGGGACCAAGCACCGGGTCCAGGGTACAGACACTGGCACAGGGGCTAACGGCACAGGCACAGGGGCTAATGGCAGTGGCACAGGGGCTAATGGCACTGCCACAGGGCGTACAGGCAGTGGCACAGGGGCTAATGGCACTGCCACAGGGCGTAATGGCAGTGGCACAGGGGCTAATGGCACTGCCACAGGGCGTACAGGCAGTGGCACAGGGGCTAATGGCACTGCCACAGGGCGTACAGGCAGTGGCACAGGGGCTAATGGCACAGGGCGTACAGGACCAGGGCGTACAGGCAGTTCAAAACGGCTGCCGTCCGTTGTTGGTCGTCCTCCCCCAAACTGCTTGTGACGATTGTCAGATTTATATTGTCAGCACATCAAAAGTGAATCACACACACACACACACACACACTCGTACTTATTTCTGATTTTGTTGTGCAGGGCTCCAGGTGATCGAGGGCGGTCAAGAGGAGAGAGAGAGAGACAAAGTGCTCGAGATAAAAGCGGCAGCGTGCCATTGGAGTCTGACTGGCTGGCTGGGTTGAAAACTGGTGTTGGCTGGTTTATAGTCATGCGTGAGACCGATGTCGGCTCGCCGCCGGCGTCGCCGGCGCCTCAAAAAAGCAGCGGCGCCAATCCGGTTGACGACTTTTCCAGCTGGGTGGACGAGCACTTGCAGGCCGTGCGCTGGACACTGCACTTGAGCGTGCTAGGCTTGGCAGGGGCATTGGCGTATCGTGCACGTCAGGCCTATCGGACAGCCATCTGGACCACCCCCGAACAGGTGCTGGCAGCGGCACAGCGCGGGGCGACTACGGGTCGCTTCTTGGTTCGGCGCCACACAGGTGCCACCAACACCACCGCAGGCCTGCCCGACGCACCAGCCTTTGTGTGTTATCACCGCCCTTGGCCCTGGTTGCCACGAACTGGCCGGCCAGGCGTACCTCCATTTCGGTTGGCACCCTGGCTACTCAAAGATGTTGAACCCAGTCAGCTGGCGCGGTGGGTCAATCACCACGTACATCTCGATCTCTCCACAGTGTCCCTTGAGGGGCCATTGGGTGCGACAGCGCTGCAGGAGGAGACGGGGCAAGGGGTGTCGGTCGCGGATGTGGAGAAGCGCTCAGCCAACGGGGCTGTCACGTCATCTGATGCTTCGCCCCTGACGGCAAGATTGGTGGGGCGCATCAAGGCGCGTACGTCGCTGTTTAGCCGTTCGCGAGATGTGACTCTCGAGCTGCTGGGCCAGGGTGCGGCGCGCCTCGATTATGATCAGGTGGCAGCCCGGACAGATGTGGCGGAACAAAAGCGACAGGATACTCAATCGTCTGGCTTACCTTTGGTGAGTGAATCGGAGCTGGCTCGATACATGGAGGCCGAGGCTGGAGCCCGTATGCGACAACTCGGGGTATGGGAGGCCCCAGATGCGGATGGCGCTTTTACGTTTCGGGAGCGGCGTCGGCGGTGGGTGGAGGCTCTGCAAAACTGGTTTCAGCGCGCCCGTTCCTAAGCCATGTGGGGCGGGGCTTCCATCGCAAGTGAAGGATGAGAACCGTATCAGGTCGACGGCGAGGGGACCGGTGACGTTGTGTTGTTGTCCCTTGGGTCCCTTTGCTCTTTTTTTTTTTTTTTTTTTTTTTTTTTTTTTCTTCTGGCTCTATTTCTTCGTGCTCTCTCGCTCTTATCTCTTTAGCAGGTGCCGAAATGCCTGGGGAGCTTTGCCTTGCATTTCTGAACATAATTGAAGCTAAATTTTCAACTGTTGGGGAGCGATGGACGGACGCGCGCCGGCCGGTATTATGAAGAGTCCGCTTGGCGGAGAAAGCTCAAGGGAGATGAATGGTGGCTGCGTCCTGCCACTGGAGGTGCTCAATCGAGTTGTTGGCGGTGAAGGAGAGCTGGCTCCAGTAGAGCAGGTCGTGATTGCGGGGGTGGCCTGGCTCAGCGGCCGTTACCCACTGATTACCGAGAAAGATGTACTGGTCGTCGTGGGACAGGGTTTCCGATCCCATGGAGGCGGCACGGGTGGGACTGGGGACGCGAAAAACGGCAGTGGGCTGGCTGCGGGTGACGTAGTTCCAGGGGGAGGCGGGATCAAAGGCATGGGTGGTGTTGCTGCCAAAGTCCCCGAGATAGGTGTAGGTGCTCAAGGGGTGCGAGGCAGCAAAGAGATAGATGGTGGAGCCACCCCGGCAGGCACAGCAGCCGGTGCCGGCAATCATGTAGTAGGTGCCCTGGCGCTTGAACATGATGGGGGCTTCGGCGGCTTGCGGGGTGGAGAAGGTGGTAAAGTTGCCGGTGCTGGCCGTATAGTTGGCGGTGAGTTGCTCGACGACGAAGCCGGTGCGCACGTGATAGGCGATGCCGTCATCGTCAACGAAAATATCATAGTCGCCGATGCGGCCCGAGCCGGCCATGGCAACGTTTTCGGTGAGCGTGGTGAAGGGGCCCTGGGGGGTCTCGCTAACGGCCACGGCGTACATGCTGGCACCGCCGATGATGCGGCTCTCATACCACATGACAAAGCGGGCGTCGCGGGCGTTGTAAACGACGTGGGGGCGAAACTCGATGCGGGGTTCGGGGCGAGCTGAGGTGGGAAGGGCGACACCGAGGTAGGTGAAGTTGGCAAAGTCCTGCGTGGCGTAGACGACGACCGTGTGGTTGGCCGTGTAGACGCAGGGATCCGTGTAGGGGCGGGCGGTGAAGCAGCAGGTGGCACAGTTGCCGGTGGCGCAGCAGTCAACGCCCGGGCACCCGCCCCAATTGTTGAAATAGAAATAGTAGGTGCCCTCATGTTCGAGGACGTCGGCTTCGCCCGTGAGCAGGCGCTGACCCAGCTGATCGCGCGGCAGCGCGGTGTTGGACACGTTGACCGCGCGCAACGCGTTGGCCCCAATCGCGGCACCCCCCATGCTTCCAATCATCTGCACCCATACCAGTGTCACGAGGACGCAAGCCAAGCCGCACAGCGGCTGCCCCCGTGCACCCACCATCACTGCGCTGTCCTGCGCGTCGCTGCCGTCGATGAGAGAGCGCTCACGGCCCACAGCGATCGTGCACACGAATGCAGTGACGATATGGGCGAGACAGCACGCTAAATGTCAGATGAAATGAAGCGGACGTGTACAACTGCTGTTGTGGCGCTTGATGGGGGCATCGTGATCAAGCAGGTGCGCAGAAGCTTGACGCCATCAACCTTTGGGCTTTCGTCATTGAATAAGAATAGGGAGAAAAATACCTGCACCCCCATACAATCAACGTCATAGCGTCGAGCAGTTGACGTTGGACGACCGGGTTTAAGCTTGTTCGCCCTTTGAGTCATCCTCCAACCTCCAACGTCATCACTTCCTTTGGTTCTCTTTTGTTCTCCCGCTGTGATGGTGATCGTCATCTACTAAAGCAAAGCCAATAAGGTGAAGATTATTGAGATTATTTGGACGTTGACGAGAGATGAGAGACGAGAGATGAGAGAGACAGAGAGAGAGAGAGAGGGATGAGAGAGATAAAGAAAGTTTTTGAGAGAGAGAGGGATAAAGAGAGTTTTTTAGAGAGAGGGATACAAAGGGAGAGAGAGAACGTGGCGGTGGCATTTTACTCCTCATTGTTGGTACGTGTACCACATCCTTCCCCCCTTCTTGCTCTCTCTCTCTCTCTCTCTTGCTCTCTCTCTCTCTTGCTCTCTCTCTCTCTCTCTCTCTTGACTACCTGATGGATATGGCAGCCAGATGGAGGCAGGGGGTGCTGTTGTTGTTGTTACTGTTGGTGTGATGTGCATGGGAGGGGGGAAGACGGATGTTCGCTTTGTGGGCGCTTTGCGTGTGTGTTTGGGGGTGGATGTACTTGACGCGCCTGTCGTCTGGTGTGCCGTGGCGTGGCGTGGCGTTGCACGCTCTATGATGTTGGCCTGATGTTGGCCTGACCTGTGGTGGGCAACTCGGGGCATATGCGTCCGGTTATTTCATCTCACCATCACCCTGCATTTGCCTTACGGCGACCTCGTTTGTGCGTGTGTAGTTGTTGTCAAGTTCCATCAGGTTTCTTTTCCTTCTTCCCCAAAGTCGCCATCATGTCGGTTGCCCAGTTCCTCAAGAAGAACATTGTTGTAAGTTTTGGCCTCTGAACGACGCTCTCGTGCCTACCCGTATTAGCACCCACCGCCACCCCGTATCAGCAGCAACAGCAGGCATTAACCTCACAAGCGCCACTCGTGATTGTCTTCTTTTTTTTTGTTCGCTTTTGATATAGCTTGCGCCCCTTTTGGCGTGCGTCGTTGGTGGTTGCGCCATGGCCGGTGGCTACATTGCCCGCGTCAACATGAAGGGCCACTACCTCAGCTGGTCATCGGACAACACCTACCCCTGGCAAAACATCCAGCCCACCCAGAACACCAAGCTTCTTGGTCTCCAGGGTGAGGAGATGTTTGGCTACAAGGAGAAGGATGTCTTCAAGCCCCGTGACAGCAACGACCTCCGCGGCCGCCTCTAAGCCAAGTCATTATTCCATGTCTTAGCTTGGTAAAGGCTGTACTGCCTCAGTATCGTGTCGTTGTGTTCGTCCGTTTTACTTGTTGACTTTTTTACATTCTTCATCGTCCCTCTTGAGGCCCTTCCTTGTCCTGATCGCTCAAGCGCGTTGAACCGCGGGGTGATGTGACCTGGATGGCCTTTGAAGCTTATGGACGTTTATTTCCTGATGGGAGTTTATGTTGGTCTCATTGAGTCGTCACCGGGATCTCTCCCTGTGCGCACTCGATGAGCTGGTTTGTGTATGTGAGTGTGACGCGATGGAGTGTGGCCCAATGGCTCACGAGTGTGGACGCACTTGTGTGTGGCTGGAGTTGCCTCTGTCCCTGTCTTGCCAACTGTCAAAGCTATTCTAAGTGGGTTCCGTTGGCTGTCCCAACAACAATCGAGTAAACAAACACACAGCCCATCACCTCATCTCACGTCAACGGCAGCCGGCCCGGCCCGGCCCGGCTGTTATTGTACACACACAGCCTTAACGCTTTCCAAGCCCATACACTTGACCCAAGTCCCCTCTTGCCTGCCATTTCACCGTATTTCACACACCGTCCCAACGACGACATCGAGACAGCGAGAGAGGGAGAGAGCGGATTGAGTGACACCTGTCCCCGTGTCGTCGTCGTCGACGGTGATGGTGGGCTGGTGATGATCACACGACGTGTCGTGAACATCTTGAGGATGCCCGACGTCATATGGCACCCTCGTCGTTTGGTCTGGGACAGGTGATCACTTGGCTCCACGCAAGGAGGGGCGGGTCTGCTGCTGGTTCCGCGGTGCTGGTTCACCGATAGCATGAGGTTCTTGGGCTGCTATCTTCTGGTGGGCCAGGATCCACGGCATCGCCGACGAACCTGTGCGTAGCCAATGCGTGTCCCCGCTCGGCGCACCCCGACACGAACCTTGCCGCTCACGGCTTTGCCGGTCCGCCTGTGGTTAGATATTGGCTTTACCACCGATCCTGTGCGTCGACTCCGGCAGCACAACTCGGAAATAGGCGGTGGCGCCGTTCGCACAACAAGAGCCAAGGGGAGCTGGGACATGGCTGCCATCGTCTACGGGTTCCCCAACAAAGTTGCGGCCCTTCGCTTTGAGTGGGCCTGGCAACATCCTCTCAAGTCGCGCCGCCTTCGTGACGCCGTCCGCTCGGACTTGCCAGCCTCCCGCGCCGCCCAGATGCAGCTCACGGCCAAGCTACACACCCTTGCCGCCATGCTCTATACCGTCCCCTGGTCGGATCAACCCTTGACTCTGTGCTGGCTTCAGCCCGACATTGCCGACAAGTGGAGCAACATCTGGCAACGCCATTGCCAGTGCCAGTCAGCTCTTCCACCCTTTCTCACCACACGCTCGGGCAATCTGCAAGACCCCCTCTTTCAGCTGAACAACGCTGCCGCCGCTGCTTCAACCATCCAGCGTGCGGCGCTGGCGGCTGATCACCACGCCTGGCGTCTCGCTGCTGCCGCACAGGCCCAGGCTCCCGATTTTTTTACCGGGCTGGGTCGCCTCGATCTCGCCGCCCCGAGCGTTGAGGAGTCGGGGGCAGGGCCCCACCCAAGCTCGTGTTCCGTGCCGCCGTCAACGGGAAGCAGCGCAGCACCCACTCCTGGCGCCCTCGCGCCGCAGCCAACGAAGCAAAACAAGTTTGGAGTTGATCCTCGCCTCGACAGCGACGATCGCGATGACAATCATCAATTTGAATCCCCCGACAACCACGAGGCCGCAGCTGTCAATGTTGATGTAGTTGACGACAGTGCCGATGATGGTACAACAGATGGAAACGAGGATGGGCCTGATGATGTCGCCCCTCATCAGGAGGTCACAGCTCGCCATGTGCACGGTGCCATTGGCGAAACCTGTGGCCACTGTCACCAGTCGGTGTATCAGGAACTCTGTATCGTGTGTCTCAATGCCACCTGCACATATCGCGCCCACCTGTTGTGCGCAGCCCAAGCCGCAGTCCACCCTCTGGGCCAGTCAAGCCCATCCGAAACGCGCCTGGTGCCACTGCGACATTCATGTCCCCGCTGCGCCCACCAGGCCCACTGGGCGTCGTGGATCGCCGAGGTGACGTTGTGAGCCTTCGCCATGATTGTGTGTGTGTGTGTGTGTGCGCGCACACTCACACTCACACTCACACTCACACTCACACACACACACTCACACTCACACACACACACTCACACTCACACACACACACACACACACACACACACACACACACACACACACACACTCACACTCACACACTCACACGTATAGCTTTCCTTTTCTCTCCTTCCGGCGCTGAGCGCCATGCCGCAGTAATTGAAACCACTTGAGCAGAAAGTTGCCTTGGGTCAATTCACATTTTAAACACTGGCAAGAAAGGGTCGCAAGCTGCACGCATATCAAGGCTGCCGAGAGGACCCACGCGCTGTTGACGAACAAAAATAAAATGGGGCCACAGGCCCAAGCGGAGGAAAAAATAATATGGAACACGTTCCTCACCGTCACACACACAGAAGCCCCGCCGGTACGAAAGGGGAAGAACAAGTCAAGAGGCAAGAATAGATGAGCGACACGCGAGGCTGACTTGATCGGATTTTAAAAAAAAAAATCACTTGGCGTGAGTCACACAGTTGCTACAAAGGGGCAAAAAACGGGCTTGTCCTTCATCAAAGGATAGCGATGCCTCAAGATGGCCGAGGGGGTCATCAAAGGATGTGCCGAGTCCTTGAAAAAGCCGTCGCATCGCGTCCTCTCCTGCATAGCCAGGCATGCTGGCCTGAGCCTGCTGAACATGATTAACATCTGGCTGCTGCGAGTATAACTGAGGCTGTTGCTGCTGCGCAGACAAAACAAAGTGTTGTTGTTGTTGTTGTTGTTGTTGTTGTTGTTGTTGTTGTTGTTGTTGTTGAAATTGTTGAAGTTGTTGCTGCTGATGTGACTGCTGCTGCTGCTGATGTGACTGCTGCTGATACATGAGAGATTGCATTGATTCAGCCTGTTCAAAGTCCAAGTCCTGAACGCCTTGAGCGAGACCATCCAGGCCATAGGCGAATTGGGCTTGAGTCGCGTTGTCCTCTGACAAATGCTCTTGATACGCTTGCAAGCCCACGGGCGAAGCAAGGGCATCCGTTCCCAGCATGGCCAGCATGCGGCTGTGATCCGCCGCGGTGTGCTTGCGCAAGTGCGTCCGCAAGCTGCAGTTTTGAGTAAAACGCGTATTGCAAATGGTACAAAGGAAGGGCTTCTCCTTGGTGTGAATGCGCACGTGTCGGATCAACTGTGGCGTGGCATGGGGCATGCAAAGTGAGGCCATCAATGAACATGGCGAGTGGGGAGAGTGAACAAGAAAACAAGCAAGGCAGGCTTGCATGGTGGGGAAAAAAATTTTAAAAAAAAATTCTTCTAACCTTGCTGTGACTGGGAAAGTTTTTATCACAGAACACGCAGGTATGCTCCTGTTGATGAAAGAAAGGGGACAGGAATAAAAGTGTGAGAGACGGTTGGCAGCATGAACAACCGGGCAAACAACCTGGCTGGAATCACAGCGACGCACAGAAACACAAAAGCAGGCTTAGATCAAAGGCTTACCTTCTTTGTACAGAAAGGACCACACGGGTACTTGTCTGCTGGTAGATCGTTGCGTAAGAGCAGTGACCGTAGGCTAGCGGGGCTGGGCATGGGTGCAGCAAGAATAGAGATGAGGGTCGGGGTAAGGCCGGGTGGGGCTGAGACATGGGTGATACACAGTGGGTTGTGCAGTGAACGTACGACATGCTCTCATTGCTAATGTTTTCGGCACGCTGGATTGTTGAGTCATCAGGCAGCTCAGCACCGATGGCACCAGTGGAGCGACCACGGCTACGGCGTTTTTGCTGTTGTTGAAACTGTTGTTGCTGCTGTTGTTGGTTGCGGAGCGTTTCAGCGGTGGGGCGTTGCGCCAGGGCAGCACCCGCCGAGTGAGTCCGGCGACGGCTTATGCTACGACGCTGTTCTCGGGATGCAGAACGAAGGGGTGCGATGCTGCTATCGCGGCGGCTTGCCACAGACGCGGCTCGCGAAGAGCTGGTGGAATTGTTCGAGTCATCACGGTAGTGTTCCAAGTCATGTGCCGGGCTCTTGTTATTGGAGCGGATAGAGTCTTGGGGCGAGAGACTGGCTGATATTTCAGCACCCCCGGAAATGGAAAGAAAGTCGGTGCTGCCAGCCGACACGGCGCCTTGGTCTGCCAAATAGCCATTTGAGGCAAATTGTGCGGCAAAGGCCGCTGGATTGAGATACTCGGGATTGGTTACAATGCTACCAGTAGAGTGTCCTCGGCTGCGACCTGCTGGGCGACCCAATCGTGCCGAAAAGGAGGCCGAGTTGCCACTCGAGGCACTGGGCATGCTGGCATTGGGCAAACCCCCTTGATAAGTTGAGGCACCACTGACACGCGTGTCCCGGGCTACCTGTTGTAGGGCGGTTAGCTGGGAAGCGTGAACGCCCAACTGTTGTTGCTGTTGTTGTTGCTGTTGCTGTTGCTGTTGCTGTAAGAGTAGAAGCAATTGATGTTGGAGTAGCAGCTGTTGCTGTTGTTGTTGTTGGTGTTGCTCTTGTTGTTGTCGGTCATGATGACTTTGCCATTGCTGCTGCTGCTGCTGCAACTGTTGAAGCTGTTGAAAATCTTGCAAGTGGCCTGGTTGTGTTACGGCTTGCTGCAGAGCGGCTGCGACTGACGAGGGCTGCGATGAGACACTGCCCAAGCTCTGCGGTGGCAAAAGGTTGTGAGCAGCGGCGCCCTGGCTCTGGGTCGCGAGCCTGTGCAGATGCTGCAGTTGTTGCGGGGTCAGTTGTTGAAATTGCTGTTCCAAACCCTGGGCCTGGGATTGAGGCTGTCCACCGCCAACTGAAGCTACATTGCCTGGTGGTCCGGGTGGCTGCTGCTGCTGCTGCTGTTGTTGTTGTTGCTGCTGTTGTTGAAGCTGATGCGGTGGTTGTGAGGTGTGAATTGAAGAAGCGGGTAGCACGGTCTGTTGACTAGCTTGCGAGGAGGTCGCGGGCGAACAGCCCGCAGAGCCATAGGCGCTAGATATGGGAAGGGCGTGGGTAACATGTGACACAGGCGCTGAGGAGGATGGTGCCACCAAGCCCAGAGACTGCTGTTGCTGCTGCTGTTGCTGCTGCTGGAGCGCGTGCCGGAATTCCTGAAACATGTGGGGGTCCAAGGCCGACATGCCAGTTTGCAACGACGGTTGTTGTTGGGGAGCTGGTAGGAGGTGGGCGGGGGCAGGCTGTTGTTGCTGTTGTTGTTGTTGCTGTTGTCGTTGAAATTGGTGTTGATGGACCTGGTGCTGGGTTTGTAGGTGGAGAAGTTTCTCCATGTTGGTGTGATGCAGGTCCTTGGGGATGGGCTGTAACAGCGGGCTCCCGTCAGACACCGAGATGGTCTGGGAGACGGGAATGTGCATTGACTCAACGTCCATTTTCTTAGGGGAGGGCGTGCCTTGTGTGGGCAGGCGGTGTCGGCTGAAGGATGTGTGTCTGGTCTTTGCGTATGTGGGTGATGTGGACAGAAAGCAGAGATTGACAGGGGTGGCGTTCGCGGCTAGACGACCTGTAAAGGGCAGGACGAGAGGCCAGGTGAGATATCCATTGAGATGTGGGGAGGGGGCTCGACAAGGCAACCTGGCAGAGCAGAGCAGGACATGATTACCTGAAAGCACATACTGCCACGGCTCAGGGGGTCCACCACCAGGAAAGAGGTCGTGTATCCGGCAAGGTGCGGCCGGGAGGGGGGAAGAAAAGCAAACCGGCGGTCGTTTGCCGCTCGGTGATAGAAAGGCGCCGTCGTCCCGAGGGAGGAGGAGGGCGGGGGTAATGTCGAGGAACGCGACGAACAAATCCAAATCGAACGTGTCGTGACAGCCAGACTTTTGTCGTCAGGCAGTCTGCTCTATGTGTGTGCACGCCTGGGCTTGAGCGCTGTCTATTGCGCACCAGGTCAGACGAAGGTAGATGTGGTATCGTATCCGACAACACTTGCAGCTGAAGCGCGAATGACGACAAGACGAGACAAGACAAGACGTCGGCAACTCGGGTAGCGATGCCGGAAAAAATAATAAAATAAAAAGGCGGAGGAGGGCACACACACGGAGCGAGGTCGTCGTGGAGGGGGAAAGGAGGACGACAAGGAGGAAATAGAGGAAGAAGAAAAAGAAGAAGAAGAAGAAGAAGAAGAAGAAGAAGACGGCGGGGGTTGTAAAGGGCCGGGGGAGGGGAGGGGGGATCGTTTGGGCAAATGCACAAGGACAGGACGGCAGTCCAACACCGGGGCAGTCGGGGGTAGTTGATCCCCGTCCCGTCCGCCAGAGAGAGAGAGAGACAGAGAGACAGAGAGAGAGACAGAGAGAGTCAGAGAGAGTCAGAGAGTCAGAGAGAGAGAAAAGAGAGAAAAGAGAGAGAGAAAAGAGAGAGAGAGAGAGAAAAGAGAGAGAGAAGAGAGAGAAAGAGAGAGTAGAGAGACAGAGAGACAGAAAGAGAGAGGACAGAGAGAGAGATGTGTGTGTATCATATGTGTGTGTGAAAGTCGTCACTTGCAGCACAAAATGACGAGAGAGAGGAGGACACTTGGGTGAGAGAGTGTGGATTCGGGGGACTGACTAGCAGAGGGAGGGGGCGATGGTGGGAGAGAGCTAGAGGGATGAAGTATGATGGGAATGTACGTGGAGG